CTGCTCGTCTGAGCAAGTGTGTGCGGCTCAGTTCCTGGCTTCTCAGCTCTAAAGTGAACTCCCAAGTGGGAACTCCCTTGTGGAGGATTCACTGGAGACCTGGCTCCGAGGTTTATTTTTCTGTAACCAGTGCACTCATCCTTCCTTCCTTCCTGGATGGGTGTTCCGTGTGGCTGCCGCTGTTGTGGGTCAGCTCCAGCAACTCCACAGGCAGAGGGACTGACTGGTCCCCCTGCCCTCAGCGCGGAGGTGTGCAGAGGGCTCCTGGCAGATCAGCACAGGCTGGACTGGAGGAGGAGGCCCAGAGGAGCTGCCCTGCACTAACTGAGCCCCAGGGCAGCTTCGTGGGTGTAGGGAGCTGATGAGGCTCAGTTTGCAGCAGAAGCTACCTGCTAGTCTGGTCTTAGGGGTCCCAGCTTGTTTTGCTTTATGTTTGTCCTCTTCTGGAACACTCAGCCAAAAAAAAAAAAAAAGAAAGAAAGAAAGAAAAAGAAACGTCATGTTGTATCCTATCTAACAGCCCCCTGTGCTCAGCCAGGGGAGAGCTAACCTGGTTATTCGGAGCCCCAGGGCAGCTCAGCCACGTCCTGTCGCCCAGGTGGAATGACCGGCCTGGTGTCTGAAGCCTTCAGTCCTCTCTGGGGTGTCTCTCTCGCCTTGGTGTCCTTGTGTTCTAGAAGCGCAGGCCTCTCCTCTGGCTCTGAGCAGCCGTGTTCTGAGCTTGGTCCTCTCCCTGCTGGGGCCTTGGGAAGGTCTGTTTGTTACGAGCGGGCAGTCAGGCTGAGTGTGAGAGACTGCACTTTGCCCAGGAAGGATCCTTCCCCCGTCTTGTCCCACGGGCAGGCTGCCTGGAGCCTCTTGTCTGTTTCTTGAAGACTGAAACCCATCCCTTCTGGTGGATCCCTCGAGGTGTCTATGGAAGGCACACTTGGACTTCGTAAGCTAACAGAGAGTGGAGTTGGTATTCTGCTCCGTCCTGCCCCCGGCACCCCAGTCACTAACCGGGGAGTGTGCCTCGAGCCACCGTCCCTTGTCCGTGCATCAGCGACAGTTGTCTGTGTCTCAGTTTTGCCACTGTGGGAATTTGGGGGGACCGTGATCTCTTGCTTGGAGGATTTGGGCAATGGCTGATTATTTCAAGGTGCTTTATTGTCACCCAAGCGAGCTGCAGCGTAGCCGTTTCCTGGACAGCATGCCTGATACGCTAATCCTGCCGGCTATGAAGCCCACCTGCCCTGCGTGGAGGGTCACAGCGAGGACCGCACAGACGTCTCCGAGCCTGTGCCTCTGCCAAGGACCAGCGCAAGGTGCTATGTACTTTTCTCTCTAGGATTTGGGACCGTCGCTTCGGTGCTGTTCACAGCGAAGCCTCACCGCCGTGGGGTGGGAGCCGGGCGGCGCTGTTTTCGGTTTGTTGTTCTGATGGCTGACTCGATGGTTTGTTGCACTGCTGGGCTGCCTCTGTTTTTCCCCTTCTCTGGCCATCTCTTTCTGAAAATAAAGTGACAGAGCCTCTGGCCAACTCCATCCCCTCCACGATGTTGAGATTTCTTGGAGTGAGACCATGTTTAGTTCAGTTGTTGACCATCTTTGTAACCCGCAAATCCAGGTGTCTGGAGCCGTTCTGGTGTGTATGTGCGTGCCCCTCTGTAAAGTTAAACCTGAGCTAAGAACTGGGCTACACGGCCCTGCCTCGGAGCCCTGACTCGCGGTTTACAGCCTGGGAGCTCAGCTGTACTGCTGCTTTGTAACCTTTCAAAAGGTATCTTCTTCCTTTCTTTTTTATTTTCCAAAGCCGTGTAATAGGAAGAAGGAAAGTGGAGTACACAAGGGTTTTGATGACTCGGTCGTCCTGTGGGTTTTGAACTGTAAACTCCTCTGGGTGCACACTAGAGGACGCTCTCTCTGCTTGGAGTCAGTCCTCTCCTCCTGTACTAAAGTATTGACCACAAGCACACAAGGCAAAAAGTAAACCTGTGTTTAAAAAGGAAGCCTCGGGGACCAGCAGATGGCATAATGATTACGTTGCTGGACTCCCACGTAGTCAACTGTGGTTCAGGTCCTGGACCCAGCAGCTTAAAACTCATGCTAGGCACGTGTGTGTGTGTGAGGGGAGAATGGAGGAGAAGGAATTGGCGGCATGGCCATCTGTCTCTGGCAAGTGCATGTGCCCTGTAGCAAAAATCTAATAAAAATTAGGAAAAAAAGAAAGCCTCTCTGAGCCAGTAGGTAGCATGGGGGTTAAGGCATGTAGAGCCCATACGACCAGCTTTGCAGTTTGAGACCTGGACCCGGCTGCTTGAAAAAAACACCAGGGGTCTCGCATTGGCGTGGCAGTTATGTCGCTGGACTCCCACATAGCGGACCACAGTTCAAGTCCCAGACCTGGTGGCTTGAAAATCATGCCAAGCTCAGATGTATGTCCAAGATCCCGGGAGGAGAATGGAGGAGAAGGGATTGTGACACGGCCATTTTCCGTGGGTAAGGGTGATTTCTCACTTTCTCTTTTACTGACTCCGCCCTCCTCCCTGCCACACACACCATGAGTACACGTGCCCTAAGACAAAAACCTCTAAAAAAAAAGAAAAAAAAAACATACCAGGTTCGTGCGTGTGTGTGCCCCAGATCCTGTGAGAAAGGAGACGGGATTGTGGTGTGGCCATCGGGGTGCTCTCAGCGCCTCCCACCCCTCTCCAGCAATCACTTTTGCCCTGTAGTAAACAAACAAGGATTCCTCTAAAAGATGCTAAACAAATGTCGAATCTGTTGCTGTCTTGTCTTTCTTTTGTGGGGGAAGGGGTTTTGTTTATTCTACTAGTGAGAGACAGAAATAGACAGGCATCCCCAGTAGAGTCTTGTATTATTTTTTTCAAGAATTATTATTTAATTTGCTATAGGGCATGTGTGCTCGCCAGAGGGAAAGTGAGAAGAAAGCGAGCTGCCAGGTCCGGGACTCAAATCGTGTTTGGCCACAGGGGAATCCAGCGCCTTCACCACATTCCCTGCTGGCCCCCCAGTAGGATCTTGATGCCACGAGCCATCCCCAGCTTTGGCCAGCCCTGGATGGTGGGCGTGCGTGGGCCCAGAGTACTCAAGGCCTCCAGACGTGAATGGGAAGCGTCCCAAGTGGGATGCCTTGTAGGTCGTGTTGTACCCGTGCATGCTCCTTCCCGGTTGTCCACTCAGTGACTGATGGTGGCTGAAGATCTGCTCTTGGCTTTTCTGATGTTTCCAGTTTTCCTTCTGTATTTAGAACCAAGGGTGCTTGTTAACTGTCAGCCCTTTCATTTCTATCACTATCATTCGTATTTGCAAAATACAGGCCACTTCCGCCAGAATGTAGGCATCGAGCAAGCAGGCTGTCAGGCCAGGATGGCGGTTCGTATTTAGCACGGTGCCTGGTGCGGAGCAGGAGTGCGTGTGTGGCGGCTGTGATCAGAACTGAATGCCTACTGTGTGCCAGGCAGGCCTCGGGCCAGGTGGCTGGTGTGAGGCAGTGTGTTCAGTCTTGACAGTAACCCAGGGGGGTCGGGATTTTCCGTGCGGACAGCCCTGAGAAGTTCCTGTCTTGGTCTGGATCATCCAGCTGCTGTTCCTGTCCAGGTCTGCATCCTGACACAGGGTGAGGGTGTCCAGAGTAGGAGCTTAGTATCTCTTCTCCTGTTTAATTAATTTTTTAAATGTTTTTTGTCATGGGGGTGTGCACCTGCTAGAGAGAGAATGACAGGGAAAGTGAGAAGTCACCAGCGGGGTGGCCATGCTGTAATTCCTTCTCCTCCTCTCTCCTGGGATTTCGGGCACGCTCACGCACATACCTGGCATGAATTTCAAGCTACCACGCTCAGGACTCGAACTGCGGTCGGCCACGTGGGAGTCCAGCACCTTAACTGTGACACCACCTGCTGGCCCTGCTGCTTCTATAAATGGATTGGCGAGTAGAAGCGCATGCTTGTGAGTCCTTTGAGAGGAAAGCAAGTGGTTGTCTTTGGTGGGGGGAAGCAGCAGGTGACCAGCAGTTCATGTCCCCAGGGTCTGGTGTCCAGCCTTCCCCAGGCCCGGTCAGTGGATACTCGGCCACCAGGTTCCTGTTCTCTGCGCCACTTTGTGCTACGGGGTCCTCTTCTCCAGCTCTTGAGAAAAGATGGCCGTGGGTGTGGTTATCAGTGACCGGGGTCGCACCCCTACCTGGTGGCAGAGCTGAGCTGTGGGTAGGTTCCAGGACAAGCGGGTGGATTGTTGCTTCACTGCCAGGTGCTGGGGGACAGGGCTGGCTCTCTGGAGGCTGAGGGTGATCGTTTCCCTCCACCTGAACGTCCTTTCTCCCTCCGTCGCCCTCCACCTCACCCGCTCTGCAGCCCCTGACTTTCCTCTCACGGAAACTTTGCGTGCAGGCACGTTCCTTTGGGAGCGAGGAACTGAACTAGTATCGTGTCGTCACACAGGCGAGTTCTCGGTGTCGTCATAGAGATCAGGGCGTGTGTGTCTGTGTGTCGTCTGCCAAGGGGGGACACCGACTTGATACAAGAGCTGGGCCTAGAGCAAGCGGGGCCCAGGGAGGGAGGAAGCAGAACACTTTCTCCAGGTGCTCCCTCCAGCCTTGTTGAGCCCCGCCCCCCAGGTCTGCGTGTCCTTAAGAAACACATGTGTTGGGACCAGCAGTTAGCGTAATGGCTGTCGCTGGACTCTTATGTGGTTGACTGTGGTTTGAGTTCTGGACCCGGTGGCTTAAACTCACGCCGGGCGCGTGTGCGTGCGTGCCCAAGATCCCGAGAGGAGAATGGAGGAGAAGGGATTGCGGCGTGACCATCCCCCCTGGGGGGTGATTTCTTGGTTTTCTTATTTTTTATTTTTTATTTATTTATTTATTTATTTTGAATTTTTTTTGATTTCTTGTTTTATGTCTCTCTGTCTCTCTTTCTGGCGAGGGCACACACCCTTTAACAAAAACCTCTCTTTAAAAAAAAGAAAAGAAAGAAAAAGAAACACGTGTGTTGAGTGTGTTCCCAGGCTGGGGGCTGCTGGGCTCTGCAGTGGGCTGTGCTGCCTGAAGGGACCCAGTGGCCTCTGACATTCCACGGAAGCCTATTGACAGCCTGGGCATCTGCTAACATGCAGCTGGTGACACAGTAGGGCTGGGAGCCCCCGCTTGTGCCTTTCTACGAAGTCCCAAATGGCGGTGACAGTCCTGGACCACACGGCTCCTCAGTGGGGGACGGATGGCAGTTGGGTTTCTGCCGTTCACCGAGTGCGATCAGTGGTTAGTGCCTCGAGTGCCCAGTGGCCAGCGTGTTCCTGGCAAAGCCACGTGGCACCGTGGTAGGGGTTTTCCAGCGTGGTCGGTGCCCTGCCTGTGTCTCCGCAGAGGGCTTCCTGCACATTTCTGGGCAGTGCTCGTCTTTGGGCACCCTTCCCCTCAGTGAGGTGGCCCATCTGTTGTCACCAGACCTCAGTCACACCAAGGTGTGCGTGACTCATGCCGTTCCTCCCAGGAAGGCCGTGTCTGGGAACTCGCCCGACTGAAGCTGTGGCACTTACGGGGCTGTTACCGGATGGGAGCTCGGGAGTGTTGTGACGAGATACGTGGGTCTTTGGGTCCAGCTTTCTATGGTTAGAGACCTGCCTGAGACACAAAGTCCTAACCATGGGGAGAGTATGAAAACAGAAGTTTCTAATAGAAAAGTGAAGTTTTTAATGGAAAAGTATACCCCATACTGGAAAGGTGTTGGGGTGGGCAGCTGTCAGGACAGCTGCACCCGGATGGGGTTGGGTGTTACTTTTATTGAAGGATCATGTCATGAGTATTGAGCGGGAGTGGTCTGTCACTGTATCTGTTTGTCTTGTGAGTTTTTTTTTTTTTTTTTTCAATTTGGCCAGAGTGGGAGGGAAGGAGAGAGAAAGTGAGAAAGCAAGCTGCCAGGTCTGGGACTTGAACCGTGGCCGGCCATGTGGGAGTCCAGTGCCTTTAATCACCACACCACCACACCTCCTTCGTGAGCTTTTAAGGGAATCAAATTACCCAGTTGGGGAAGTCATACACATACCCAGCGTGGACTTCGAAGGTGTGAGCACGCGCACAGGGACAGCTTTGCCTGGGCCACTCCGTTGTCACATCCGGGAGGTGGCGTATTTGAGCACGCATCCTGGAAAGAATGCCCGTGTGCACGTGTGGAAGGGCGGAGGGGCGGGGGCGGAGGGTGACCGGCTCCAGGTCCTTTAGTGACAACCCGAGCAACTTAAAAGGCGGGCGACCTCTCTGCTCTGTGCCAGGGGTCTAGCTGCTGTCCCTGGTGACAGTGACGGGTGTGTCACATTGGGACTCCCTATCATAGTGTCTGCCTACCTGTCACAGCAGGGCTCATCTCGGCCGCCGTGTTCGGGGTGCCTGCGCGGTGTCCGCTCACAGCCGGGCCCGGCAGCCTGGCCTGCACGAGACCTTGGCTCTGCTAGGCCTTTGCAGTGGCGGGCAGGAAGGAGGGTGTAGCCATCACACCCTGTCTCGCGGCCACCCCTGCTTGTGTGTGTCTGTGGATCCACCCTTCTGCCTTTCACTCCCCAACTTCACTCATCCGTGGGCTGAGCGCGAGTGGACGCTGGCTCCCACGGTGCCACCCCTGCTTGTAGTCGCTGAGCCCCTGGGGCCGCTCCGACACACTCCGGAGCTCTGCCCGTCAAAAGAACCGTCTGTCTACCGCCTCCTCCCTCTCTCTCCTCCTCCACTTCTGCCGCCGCCTCAGGAAACCCGGCCCAGGTAGCCGGCAGGTGGTGTGGTTAAAGGGGCTGGACTCCCATATGACTGACTGCGGTTTGAGTCCCGGACCTGGCAGCTTGCTTTTTCTCATGTTCTCTCTCTCTCTCTGGTCAACCTCTAAAAAAGAAAATAATGACAATGAATAACATTAAAGAAAGTAACTCTTTAAAAAGTGAAAAAAAGAAAGAAACCTGGCCCAGTGGTGGCATAGGCGGGAGGGCAGGGCTGGGTGGGTGGGTGGGCGGTGGTCGCCATGTGATAAGAACCTATTAGGGCTCTCTCCCCCTCCCCCTCCCTCTCCTCTCTCTCAAGACGAGCCCTAAGAGAAGCCTGCCGCGGCCCCCCGGAGTCTCTCTGCTCACGCGGTGCTGCGTTTGCTTTTCGAGCACACACGCCTGCCTGCTCCCTGGCTTTCTCTCTTACTGTTGACCACAGACTGCAAATGGCTTTATTATTTTTTTTTAGTTCATTTTTTAAAAGGTAAAGTGTGAGTGTTTTCCCTCTTGGGTGAAAGAAATTCCCGGGAGCATTGGGCTTGCAGCTCGGAGGTTTATTCGGCCCCCCTGGTACGGCAGCCCCATAGCCGGCCGGCACGTGGCTGTCTGGTAGCTGCTCGCTGCGGAGGCGGGTGGAGAGGGGGCCAGTCTCCTGGGTGGGCGTCAGTTGTCGGCAGCGGCATCTATAGAAGAAGAAATCCTGGCAAAATTTGGGGTCCACCGTCCTGCACTGCCTTAAAAAAGGCTTCTCTTCCACAGCGATGACACGAGGTGGCTTGTTGCAGTGCGCGGGGTGCACTGACTGCAGGGTGGCGTTTGAGGGGGGCACTGTGTGGCCGTGGGCAAGTCACCTCATAGCCTACCTGCAGAGGACCACTCCTGCCACCCCGCACGGCCCCTTGGAGGGTGTGGCCGTGCTGGCGAGGAAAGCCTTTGCGGGTGGTAGCACCTGCGGCCTCCTCAGTCAGGAATCGTCGGATCCTTGTTTGTTGTTGTTGTTTGTTTGTTTTTAAAAAAGTGGGGCTAGCAGTTGGTGTAATGACTATATTGCTGGACTCTCATGTAGCTGACTAAGGTTCGAGTCCCAGATCCGGTGGCTTAAACTCATGCTGGGTGCGTGTGCGTGCGTGCCCAAGATCCCGAGAGGAGAATGGAGGAGAAGGGATTGCGGTGGCTATCCCCCCTGGGGGGTGATTTCTCTCTCTCTCTCTGTCTCTCTGTCTGTCTCTGTGTCTTTGTGGCGAGCGCACACGCCCTACAGCAAAAACCTCTCCAAATAAATAAATAAATAAATAAATTGTAACCAAAAAACCTGTATTTAACTGTCTATGGAACCTATTCTTAATATAATTTGGCATAGATTCCATTGTTTGAAGTAAAATTATGTAATAAAGGTGCTTTAACACTCAAATGAATTATTTAAATTAAAATGTAAAAAGATGATTTATCATGATGATTTTGTTAATTTGACCAGAGAGTGGTGGGGAGTGACAAAGCAAGCTACCAGGTCCAGGACTTGAACAGCGGTCAGCCGTATAGGAGTCCAGCACCTCAACCACCATGTCACTTGTCACCCCTGCTAAAATAAGTTTTTAAAAATTTGCTAGAGGGTGTGAGTGCCGGCTAGAGGGAGGAAGTGAGAAAGCACCCCCTGTGGGGATGGCCACGCCCCAGTCCCTCCTCCACGTCCCCCTTTTTTTTTTTTTTTTTTGGAGAGGTTTTCGCTACAGGGCGCGTGCGCTCGCCAGACAGACAGAGAGAGACAGAGAGACAGAAAGCGAGAAATCACCCCCCAGGGGGATGGGCACGCCGCAATCCCTTCTCCTCCATTCTCCTCTCAGGATCTTGGGCACGCACGCACACGCGCCTGGCGTGAGTTTAAGCCACCGGGTCTGGGACTCGAACCGCGGTCAACTACGTGGGAGTCCAGCGACATAGCCATTACGCTAACTGCTGGTTCCCTCCACGTCACCCTTTTGAGATTTTGGGCACACATGCTCCTGGCGTGTTTCTCAGGCTCCGGGTCAGGGACTCGACAACACAGCTGCGTAGGACCCCGCTGCCTGAGCACCGCTCCGCCCTCCGCCGACTGAGCCAGCCACAGTCATCTCCCGCTCCCCGAGCGTCCCGCTCCATTGTACGCGTGAGAAGTGCAGGTTCAGCCGGCCAGGCTAGGTAACGGACGCGTGCCTGGAGCACAGTGCTCCAGTCTGCAGACTCTGCTCAGCCCCCCTGAGCCACCCTGGAATGCCAGCCCAGCCACTCCCCTGCAGGCATTCGGGGGAGAGGAAGTAGAAGCTCTTTTTGAGAGGTAGGGGTCGGGGCCAGCAGGTGGCGTGGCGGTTGAATGGCTGGACTCCCACATGACGGACCACGGTTCAAGTCCTGGACCTGGTGTCATGAAACTCACACTGGGGGGGGGGGCAGCAGGTGGCATGGCGGCGTGGTGGTTAAGGGCACTGGACTCCCACGTGACTGACCGTGGTTCAAGTCCTAGACCTGGTGGCTTGCTTTCTCACTTTCTCTCTCCTTCCCTCTCTCTATGTCCCTCTCTGTTCAACTTAAAATAAATAAATAAATAGTTAAATAAAATTAAAGAAAAAGATATATTAAAAAAAATGAAACTCACACTCGGTATTTGTGCATGCCTAAAATCTCAGGGAGAATGGAGAAGAGATTGCAGCGTGGCCTTCCCCACCCCGGGGAAGATTTCTCACTTTCCCTTTGTCTCTCTGTCTCTGGTAAGCACACATGCCCTATGGCAAAAAACTTAAAACTGAGAGTCAGGTGTTGGGGAGGAGGCTTTGTGTTACCCACATGTGGGTCCCCCTCTGGGACTTGGTGGAAACCGCGGCTGCCTGACCCCGGCGGGGACTTACCTTCAGCCTCTTCCCAGAGGATGTCCTGCAGGAACTTGCCCAGGGCCTGGCCGTGCTGCTGGAACTGAGCGCCCGAGAGCTTGATTCCAACGTCAAAGGGGGTGTTGAACTGGGAGGCCGGACAGGGAGGACCCGGGAGGCATCAGGCCCTGCTGCAGCACCCCACTCCACCCTGACGGAGGCTCTGGGCTCTCCTGTCTCACAGGGAGGTCGGGGCTGGCTGGTGGTCCCCACGGGCAGCACTGGGTGACATCCCAGCCAGACCTTACTGCCTTCCCGGGCCGAGCCGGAGCCCCCTTCACACCGTGGGTAGGACACTTATACCACGCAGTCTCCTTCCACGTATCCCAGCCTCCCCAAGGGAGCTGTGAGTGAAAGGCATGGGGCCCCCTAGATCAACCCCCCCCGCCCCCCGGCGCTTTGGAAGGCAGGAGGCTGAATTGCCACGTGGTAGATCC